GGTTGAAATCTAAGTTACTCCAATGTTTCACTCTTCATGAGTGCTAATGAGCTATTTCATACATGACTTTCCCTAGTTCCAGTTATCAGGAGAATCAGTACCTTAGGGGCATTGAATCCAGACAGAAATCATCTTTTTGGTCAAGTTATTGTTTTAAAGCATTGATAAAACCATTAAGGCTACTTGAGTCAGTGACCCATATTGTTGTGTGTTTGAGACTTCAGCCATGATGGGCTTTGTAGATTTACTGCATCTCTCCTCAGTTTAACAGTTTCCTATTGTGAAATTTATGTGTAACTTTATGGTTTAATTTCTTTCTTCATTCTCTTTTAATTAAAAATTAATTAAACATTTCAACGATTCTGCTTTTGTGTAAACTTAAACAGACATAGACGTCAAGTTGGGCAGTGAAACCAGGTCATTAATTAGGATGGTTTGTTTTTGAATTTTGAATGATAATATCTTTTAATTAGATACTTTAATCTCTGATATGTACATTGTGATTGTTAATTGCATATTAATAGCTTAAAAGTTGGTCTGAGTTGAGTACTAGTAATGTATAAAACAGTTACTTTAATTCTCTAAAAAGATTGCTATTTCGAAAGTGTATTTCAAAGACTTTCCCCTACATATATGTGAAAAGGAATATCTGGTAAAATATTTTCCACATAACTAAAAAACTATCAATATGGAATCCTGTATTAGGGTAAAATCAATATATTTTCTTTTAGTAGCATATATGTAGTCACCTAATAGCAAGACGTTCTAGGGAATATTTATTGATTTCTCTTAGAAAATGAGCACAGTAAAGCATAGCTGTAATCCCACTTCCTTGGGACCTCCAATAGGAGGATTGCTAGTTCAGGGCTAGGCCAGGCAAAAAGTTAGCAACATGTCCCCCTTTCTCAGTTTATGAAATACCATCTGATAGCTATTATTAGATGTGATGAAGATACGGTTTCTGTTATTAAGGAGTAGATATACAAATTTTATAAAATATGTATTTGTGAGAGATTATACTAAATGACCTTGAAGATTCTGTGATACTGTTACTTCTTTCAAGGCCAGGTTGAGGTTCACTTTGTTCATGAAACTTTCCCTGGCTAAAAAATGATCTTTTGCGTTTAAATATATAATCTCAAATAGACCATCCTTTTGACATATGTGCTAATATATTTCTTGGCCTTGTTCTACCTGAAAAAAGTTCTTTGTAATGGCATTCACTATAGAGTGATTGCAGAACTAACATCACAAACTACAGAGAAAATAGGATATTATAAATTCAAGTGATAGGAAATATGAAAGAAAATATTAACATTTGATGTTAGGTGAATATGAAAAATGATCTGAACTATAACCTAATTGGTGGAGTTTAAGGAATTAAAACATCTAAAAATAAAAGTATAGATGAAACACTTTTGATACATATTTTAAAGATTGTCCTGTTTAAGAACCATTTTTAGTTCCTTTTTTGAGAACTGTCTGTACATACTTTTTAAAAAATTAGGTGATTAGCCCTTACAAATTGATTTTTGAGAACACAATATACTACCTAACAAATTATCCATTTATGGTAGGAGTTTTTCATAGTCAGTCTTCTGACATCATTTGTATTTTCCTTCATTCAGAAATAGGATTTTTTTTTTTCCGTGTAAAGGTTTTTACCCCCTTTTTTTTGGGGCCTTATGCTTGTTAGGCAGGCGCTCTACCATTCAAGTCACTCTGCCAGCCTGGCTTTTACCACTTGAGAGACTATAATACCACTTTTTTTTTTTAAAGGCTCTCCTTATTTTTAACATTATTTTGTAGTGTAATAACATGACAACAGCAAATAGTACTAACACATATTTACTGCTTACTGTGTATGAGGTATAATTCTTAACCACAACTTGATGGAGTAAGGTTGAATTATTATTTCTGTTTTATGGAAGAGGAAATAAAGGTGCAGAGTGTTTAAATCACATGCCAAGAGTCTCATAGCTACTAGATGCAGAAAGATTGATGACAGAAAATTAAGAACATTTTTGGACAGTGTTGAAGACCTACCCACTAGAAATAGGTGGTAATGGCATCAGTTCAGTTTTCTTTTTTTAGAAACCTTCAGGCCAGTTCTGCTATCAGACTTCATATAATTGATGCTCTTTAATCAGCTCAGTCCTCCTGCCTCAGCCTCCTGGGTATAGAAAGGACAGGCATTTGCCACCATGCCACACTTTGTATGTTACTCTTAAAGCTTATCGAGATTTTTTTTTTTAAAGTGTATTGGGTAAATTAGAGTAGGTTGAAGAAATCACTGCTAGTGCTGGTGGTGTGGTTTAAGTGGTAGAGTGCCTGCCTAGCAAGCGTGAGGCCCTGAGTTCAAATCTCAGTACTGCCCCAAAAAAAGGCAATGTGGTAACTACTTTTTACTTCCTTTTGTTATTCTTTGTTTATACAAAACGTTTCTTGGGAATGGATTTTGAATGTGTATCTAGCTCATTTAACTTTTGTTCACACTTTATTAACTTCTAGAGGATTATGAGATGAGGCCGCATAACATACTTTTAGCTTACACTAAATACGTGGTCTTGAATACACGAATTTGAGAATAATGATGTATTTTAATAGTAAACTGATTTTTCCTAAAATGCAATTTTCAAAAATGTATGGTAAGTTTTCCAGCAGTATTCCTAAACCCAAAGTCATTCATTGTTAAATGTTTGTGTTTTTTACACAGGGTGTAATAGGTATACAGCTGGTTGTTACCATGGTGATGGCCAGTGTCATGCAGAAGATTATACCTCACTATTCTCTTGCTCGATGGCTACTCTGTAATGGCAGGTAAGGCAAGGATAGGCTGATTGTGACTGGCACTTTCTGTTTAGTTAACAAGCCTGATTAACTTCTTAGAAGTGTTAATTCCTGTTTCTAAAGGTATGACAATGAAAGATTATGAGGGAGACTTCCTTTCTTTCTTCTCTTATTTGACACATTAGTAGCTTATTAGTTTATTTGTATAGGATAATTGCAGGGTCAGGGACTAGTGTTTGATCCCCCTGATCTCATGCACCTCCTTTTACTTTGTTTTGTTTCCTGATTACCACGTGTTTCTTTTCTTTAACTTCAAAAAAATGTTGGTCAGCAAGAGGATGAGAATTTATAAATCAAAGTGCTTAAATGTTTTCACCACTTGGGAAAAAAAATTATGTAACACATACATCCTACTGTTAGTGACTCAGTTCAGAGTTACTATGAGAATTAGAGTTCTTTGCTTTATTGCAGTGCATTTTAAACTGTTGCAGTTCAGCAAGGAAAGGGGCAAAGTTATTGGTGGAATTTTAGTTTGTCTCTTGTAACTGTAAGTTCACTACTATTCCCACTACTTCCACAAAGCACCTAAGTTGCCGTGCTGAAATAAGTAAAATAATAAAGCCCCAAATAGGCACAATATGCCCCCAGTACAATAATTAATTAAAAAAAAAAACCCCAAAACAGGGAAGTTTAATATAGGTGACATATTTAGGCAAAAGGAAAAAAATTATACACAAAAAATACATGCTAAAATCCTATGTAATTCTGAAAAGTAAGTGATAAATTTGGTACCCAGACTACTTCAGTTATTCATCTTTAATAAATAATTAAATTCTTTGTATGTCCATTTTCTTTTGTTTAGACCTTTTAAAATAAAAAAACAGTTTCTCGTTTTGTTTACATTGTTCTCTGTGCCTAATACTTTTTTCATATTGATGCTCAAATACAGAAAAATATTCAGACTTCTTTAAAATTTTGAAACACCCATATGTGTGTGTATAGTGAATATGTATTGAAAGAGCAACTGTTTATAAGTATATATTTTATTAGCAAAATAAGTAATAACTAAAGTTTTGGTAAAGTTGAAAGCCTGTGTTAGACCTATTTAAAAGTGAAAATCAATCATCTATAACTAACTTTTTTTACTGTGTAGTTTTAATATGCCCTGATAGTAATCTTGTTTACATATTTTGCTTAGCTAAACCATTTTCTATAGATCATGAAAGGGAAAAATATCTGCTGTGCAAATTATTATTCTAAGTCAATGAAATCTGACTTATAAATTATAAAAAGTACAGTGAGGTAACTTATTTGTTCCTGACAATTACACATGTGTACACACTATGGTTATGATCCAGTGAGACTTCCAGATCTCTTTCGGCTGTAAAGATCTTAGCAGTCTTGTCCCATTTTAGTCTTCATGCATTTTCATTTCTTTCATGGCCTGCTTTCCGTTTGTTTTTATAAAACTTGTATTCACCGGTTAAAGCTGAAACTTTGGAGATAATCTGATTAGTTTCATTAATATCGTAGTAATGTATTGTAGTTAAAAACTTCATTAATTTATTTATTTTCGTGGTGGTTTTTAGGATTGAATACAGGGCTTTGTACATGCTAGGCAAATGCTCTACCACTGAACTAATCCCTCGTCCTAAAAAGCTTTCCTTTTTTACAGGAATGTTCATAAGATACATACATTATCTGAGGGGGAGTTCAAGCTTAAAAAATAATCATGAAGTTAATTTTCTTCTGGGTCTTTTTTTAAAATATGGTACTGGAGTTTGAACTCAGGATCTTCTGCTTTCTAGACTTAGAGGTGTTTTGCCACTTGAGCCACTCTGACGGCCCTCTTCCACATCTTAACTTGTTTTTGTGAAAGAAAAGAATATTTTCTTTTGTATTGATGGAATGCCAAATGAGGTTCTATGAATATCAGATATTCTAGTAATGTTACTTTTCTGATACAGTTTCATATCCTCACTGTTTTGTTTTGTGATTTTTAAGATCAACTAACTTTTTTCTTTTTTTAAGTGTGTGCTGAAATTATCAGGTCATGAAAGTTACCTTATTGAGTGTTGTCACCTAGCTTAGTTGAATAAGACCATTGTTACAGCTTTTGGTATAATTACTGTTTTACCAACCTTTCATAATATGAAATGATGGTTTTAATATTGAAAAAAACCTCATCCCTTCTCAATTGCCTACATAAAAATACTGTTGATAAACAACAGTTTGCATTTTAAACCATCTGAATAATTGAATTGAAAAAGAGAAATATGAGAGTGTTTTTCTAAGTTCTATAAAAATTCTTGAAGTTTCAGGGGGAAGGCTGATGAGGATATTTTAAAAATTGAACAGTGTAGGATGGCTTGGGAGTGACTGTTGAATAGAAATTTTAGTGGAACTATTCAGGTGAAAACATGGATAGATATCACAACAGATTAATCATGAATATGTGAAGAAACTAGTTTTTAGTTTTTGTATATGTCATCTTATCATTCATATATTCCACTGTCATTATAACTTCAAACAGCAAATAAATAGTTCATAATTTTCTTAAAAGTGTGACTTCTGTTTTGGTATCACATTAATTAATTTCTGTCCCTATATCTCATTGACCTCTATTTCTTTGAAATGGAGAATTTAAAATGGTGTCTGCTTCTAGTTTATTGATTTCATGAATAAACCATTTTTCCCAAAGAATTCGATACCTTGGAAGAACAAGCAATTATATTTAAATAAGCAATTTTATATAAATTGGTAGCCTTTTTAACATAAAAAAGTTAGTTAATTTTCTGGCTCTAAATAACACTTGTGTGTTGATGGTAGTGCTGTTTTTTTTTTAAACTATACTTTTTGTTTTTAAAAAAACTGTATAACCTTTAGCCTGGTTTAATCTCATTAATACCTTTATATTTGTATAAAACATTATGCTGGTAAAATTTTTAAAATCTGTTATTTCATTTGAATCTGTACACTGTGAACTAACTAGGAGGGAGGGTATGTTGGGGTGTGCTCTAACCTCTGAAATCACAGTGTCTGAAATTAATACAGGTTTTTCATTGGGGAATCAGGGAGGGGCTCGGAGCTCCCCAGGAAGGTCCTTCAGAAAATGGTGATTTAAGGCTTCAGTTTTCAAGTGGTACTTAGAGAGTCTAGCCTTCTTCCTGCTTATTGCTCTTTTGTTTCTCCTGTGACCTTGGAGTCCTCTGTTAGATGCTGTGCAAGTTGGCGGGAAGAGAAAATGGGCTATGTATCTTTCTGGAGATTCTGGGCTGTCAAGCTTAGAGATAGTCGTGATTTCTGCCCACATTAACATAAGTTGGGTCCTTTGACTAGTTCTAGCCAAAGGGCTGAGGAATCATTATACCTAAGAAGTAAAAAAAAACCTTGGTGAGTGCGTAGTTCTTCTCTTCCATAGCTGATATTTCCAGATTTGCAAATGAAGAAACAAGTTTTAAATTCTTCACTCAAAGTCCACACACTAATAAATGAAATAGATTGAGATCTTTTCTCCTAGAAGGCCAATTCACAGTTTAGTATAGCATCCCTACCTTATCTGTGTTTCAGTTTCTACTGTTAAAATTGTTTGCAGTCAACTGCAGTTTGAAAATACTAAATGTAGCCAGACGTGGTAGTGCACACCTATGATCCTAGCTACTTAGAAGGTAGAGGCAGGAGGATTGCAAGTTTGAGGCCAGCCTAGGCAAAGGTAGAGGCCAGACTCTGTTTCAGAAAACAAAAGGGCTAAGGGTATAGTTCAAGTGGTAGAGCACTTGCTTAGCATGTACATGGCCCTGGGTTCAATCCCAAATATTGTCCCCTCCAAAAAAAAAAATTAAATGGAAAAATTCCAGAATTAAACAGTTTATGAGTTTTAAATCACATACCATTCTGAGTAGCATGATGAAATTTCATTCCATCCTTCCTTCCTCGGATATGATTCATTTCTTTGTCTAGTATGTCTACAGTATAAGCTCTCTGCTTCTAAGTACTTAGTAGCCACCTCAGGTTATCAGATCTACTCTTGTGGTATCAAAGTGCTGTGTTCAAGTTACCCTCACATTGCATGTCACATGCCTTGTTGTTCACCTGTTTCATCTCATCATGTAAGTATTGTGTTATGCCACATCATCACAATGGTGAGTACAGTATAATAAGATATGAGAGAGACCACATTAACATAACTTTTTTTAAGAGTATGTTGTTATAATTGTTCTATTTTATTATTGTTAATCTCTTACTGTGCCTAGTTTATAAATTAAATTTTATCAATAAGTATATATGCATAGGAAAAAGCATAGTATATGTAGTTAGTGCTGTTGCAGTTTGAGGCATCTTTTTGGGGTCTCGGGACAAATCCCTTAAGGATAAGAGGTTGGCTTCTGTATTTGTTTGATTTATAACTGCATCCATTCCACATCTTGTCTTGGAAATGTCATATTTGAGGAGTTTTAAATTTGGTTACAATTACATTTTGTAACCATCGTGACTTCCGTTGGTAGTTTTACAGAATAATTTAAGATTATTATCTTTATACTATTTTTCTAGTTGTACTTTGCCTTTTAGAATTCAGGTTTTAGGTGGTGTATGATTCCTCTTCACGTATTATGTTCTTACTGCTTCTCTGTGGTTACTTAGCCAGCTTATAGTCTAAATCAAAAGATACACCAGCATTGATTTGATTGCCAAAAATATACTAAGTATGAAATAAAATTTAAGAAATATTTCTTGCTCAACCTATACCTCTTTCCTTAGCATTTGAGATTAAATTTGTTCTGCATTACTATACTATAAATGTTTTGTATTGCTCCTTCCAATTTTTAGGAAAATACAGATTGAGTATCTGTAATCTGAAATTCCAAAGTCTAACATCCAAAATCTGAAACTTTTTGAACACTGATGTGATACCATGAGTAGACACCTGGTGCCAGGTCACAGTGAAAATACACACACATTGAAAACACTATATAAAGTTACCTTCAAGCTATGTTATATGAAATATAAGTGAATTTTGCATTTAAATCTGG